AGTTGGATTAAACGAATATGTTGTAGGGCAAGGTGAGAACTTCAAGTTTCTCTAATAATCTATCGTGTTTCATAAAGAAGATAATCTACCTGAGCTTCTGAAAAAAGTATTGTAAAACGTATAAAAAAAAATTTTTATCAATTAAAAAGCTTGTGTAACATAGATGGTCCTACCTCAAGTACAAACTTCATAAATTTAGTCACATGATAGATTTTTAATATCATACGAAGAGATAAGATAACGAAAAAAAAATTATACAAATTTACAAATTTATTTTAGCTATCTAAAATAACTATTACTTTATAATTTTTGAACGTCACTTCTCCATTTCCAAAATACTCATATTGGTCATTATCTGTTTCATCATCTGGTGGTATATTTGTGCCGGGTGATAATTGTTTGTATTCAATAACACAATCAAATATAATTTTTTCTATTTCAGCATCTTTACTAAAGCCTAATGCAGTTCCAAAGAACCACATGATGGCTCCGGATGTGGTATAGATCAAGTAAAGTGTTATTGTGTTTCTTCTTCTGTTTCTGCTAAATAATTATGCTCTGCATTAACATATGTTTTATGCTTTTTAGATCTATTTAAAGTAATTAAGTGACTAGATGAAACTTTAGTCAGTCTTATTTCATTACAATCGAGAACGCTGTATAAGGTGCAGATTTTTTTACCAGGTTATTTATATCATAGGTTGGATTGAAAGTGTCTTTGATATGTTTCAATTGCCATTTAACATATTTATTTCGTTCTCTTCTGTTCACTTTATCTGGAATAGGAGTCATTTCTATAAATACAGAAAATTCAATGCCAGTCTCATCTACTTTGACAGGAACAGAAACATGAATTGTTTTTTTAAAAAAATAATCAATAAATAAATTATATTTAAAAGGATGTTTTGCATTTTTATTAAAAGAATTGGGTTTTTTAGAATTTGTACAAGTGCGTCTTGGTGGTATTTGTAAATAGGTTTGACAAGATGGACACATTTATATCTATTGACTCAAGAAAAAGTTAGTATTATTTATATAGAGTTTTTTTTTCAAAGCAATTATAATTAAAGTTTTTGTTTTTTTCTTTAAGAATACTATTAAAGTAAAATGCGAAAATAGTTTAACAAGATTACTAGACAAAGAGAATTCAGACAAAAGTTTGAGGGTGTGACCAATTATTGTATGATGAATAGGAATTAATTATATATGTATTTTAATTAATTCTTATT